GATATTATATCTCGGTTTCGTTTTGTTACTATATATATATATATATATATATATATATAGATATATATCTACGTAGTATATCTCTCAAGGTTGATTATTGACACTTCGCCAGCCATCACATACCCGAGGTAGGTAAGCTGGGGGGAAGGGTTAAAGAGGAAATTCTGCCCGAGAGGCGCGCTCGCTCATTGTGCTCGTCGACATTATCCGTTACCATTGCAATTTAGAACGAGAGAAAGGTAGGAAGAAATCGGCGGCATCTGATGATCATCCGCAAGAAGGCACTTTTCAGAATGACAAACAAGTATTAGCATGTACGAAGTATATTACGCGACGATAATTGCAGAAGGGTTGGGTTTGAAAAGACTTTTATTCCGTCTGATAGTGGGTAACAATTGTCAGTCGTTTTTATTACTTGCCCTTCCCACACTACGGAGTAGAAGCTGGCGCGCCGGCGACTGGGTCGCAGAGGGCGCTTTCTTTACTTACTGTAGTAGTTTGGGCCTCTCATTCTCCACAGACGGCACGATTTGCCTTTTGGGCGCTTACTGCGGAGATAGTACTGCACTTAGGGCGATACACGAGTCAGCTAGCGAGCTAGCCATGCTATACATATTCAAAAAGGAGAAAGTTCAAATTTAAACTGAAAAAGCGACCTGCAAGAGCACGGTGAGAGCAAAGAATTTAGTTGACACCATTTCGAACCATGCGAAGAAGACCGATATTTCGTTTTTTTTTTTCGTTTTTTTTTTAAAAAAAATTTCCGGGAGTTGATGGATGAGAGACTGAAACTGATGCAGGTGACGATACGAAGTACGATAAGTATATCCGCGGGGATAGAAAAAAAGCCGTTCATATTCGTGCTACTTACTTGTACTGAATATAGCACCTCGGATTCTTTCTCGGCTTAGCTGGCTGATATAGTACGTAGTAGATTCAGCTTCAAACAGATAGATGAACCAAAACCACAACTCTCTTAAGAATAGTTTCGCCGCGTATAGTTTGTTTGTAGTACCGGTAGTAGTTGGTCAAGTACCTACGGTACTGGCTATCTATCACCGCCTTCGCTTGGCGAACGCCGGACAAGGTCTGGCTAAAGCTTACATAAATTACCTACTTAGCAGGTCAATTCGGGGTAAATGTTGATGCTGCTGTACGGTACATAGGTAGGTACCTACCTACGTAGTAGGTACGTAGTATGTCCACCCGCGAGCTCTCGGCTACAGCTAGTCAGAGTGAGTAACCTGCCTGCCTAGTCTAAGCAGCTCAAGGACATGCATGCATGCATGCTACGTACGTAGTACTACATACCACGGTACAGACGTAA